TTCTTTGAGGTGGTGACAATCATTCCTCAACCCCCACTCTCTCACATATCTGCGTTTGATGCATCAGATTTCAAACCCACCACTTGGAGATTTCTCTCCCTCCCACAATCACTAACTCTCCTTCACGTCCCTCCTTCCATTTCATTGAAGCACTGCACAATCTAACATACATTTTCACATTGACATCGTTCATTCTGTCCTGTTACCGTCAGTGTTGCTGTGTGAACGTGCCCTGTCTCACCACGGGGAACTTTAAACCAGTCGATCCATTCAGATACTGCGGTTGTGAGATCAGAACTCATGTAGCAACTTTTACGGGCGTGGACCAGTGATTATTGGAGCATCAGATTTAGGAAATCGAAGAGGGCAATACTGAGCAAAATAGACTTCATTGGAAAAGACCAGTTTCTGTGGGTTTCTGCATCATTTATTTCATTTGTTCATTCGACTATAACTAGAGTATTGTGTGCAGTTCTGTAATTCACATTATTACGGGGATGTAATAGCACTAAAACGGTGCAGAAGAGATTATCAGGATATTGTCTGGGCTGAAGAGTTTCAATTATGAAGAGAGATTGAACGGACTGTGGTTGTTTTCCTTAGAGTAGAGGAGATGTACAAGATAATGAGTGATATTGATAGGGTAGACTCAAATGCATGGTTCCCCTTAAAGGGGCCTTAGACTTAATGTAAGAGATAGGAAGGCTTGAGTGAATGTGCGGAAAAACGTTTTCAGCCAGCGATTGGTTTGAATCTGGAACCACTGCCTGTAAGTGTCCTAGAGGCAGATATCCTGATTACTTTAAGAAGCATTCAGATGTGAATATGTGATGCTGTGCCATTGATGTCGATGGGCGAAGCGATAGAAATGGAATTTTGATATTTAAGCGATTGTACTTGATTGGTGCACACGTAAAGGGCTTCCGGGGCGTTTGGGCTCAAGGTCCTCCGTAGTTTAGTGGTTAGTACCCCTGCCTATCTTACGGGCGATGAGGGATTGATTCCGCGCGGGGAAATAACCAAATTTTTTTGGGGCCTTTCAGCGAAAGGGACCCACCTTCGATTTCAGCTTCAGCTGATGTGCGTGGAGTTTGCACGTTCTCGCCATGTCTACGTCGGAGTGCTCCAGTTTCTTCCCACAGTCTAAACATCTGCAGGAGAGGTGAATTGGCTGCGGGAAATTGTCCCGTTGTGTGCAGGGATGTGCAGGCCAGGTAGTTCGACCAGGATAAATGCGGGTTTACGAGGATTGGTGGGTGTCACTATTCTATACTGGGCTCTGGACGAGAATGGTCACTGCTTCATATCGGGCTCTGGGGTATAATATTCACTCTTTGATGTTGGGCCCTGCGAGAGAATGTTCACTGTTTTATATCGACTCTGTGGGAGAATATTCTCTGGTTTATATTGGGCTGTGGGAGAAAGTGGTCACAGTTTTCGATCGGGCGCTGGGGCCGAATGTTCACTGTTGTATATCAGGCTCTGGGGGAGATTTATATTGATCTCCATTCTACTTCTCCTGTGCCTTCGCGGGTGTAATACGCGCTGCACCAAATAACTACAGCCCTTCAATCAAAACAAAGAAATGAATGGCAAGCTGAATGTCTATTTTGAGACTCAGTGACTAACAAATGCAATGTGTCTGTGAGAATGTGTGTTTCGATAAATAAAATACGAACTGCACATTTCGGGGATTTCGATTTTTACATTGGAACAGGGTTTGATCCCTTGTTTGAAACAGAATAACTTTCGGGTGTAAGTGAAATATGATCAGCACCGGACTGCAGGGAAAATGCACAAAACCGAGCGAGCCGCATCTCAGATGACATCATGCAACACACTTCCAGTCACTGAGCCTGCATTGCAAAACAAGTAGTCTGAAAAAAAAAACACTTCCTCTCGAAAGGTAAGCAGATTTATAATTCGAGAAAGGCAGATCCTACTGCGTAATTGTTCTAAAGGCAGTGCAGGGATGAGCTATATTATCATAATTCCTTTCACTTTCCCGGCCTTTCTGTTTAGCTGGCAGTTTTTGGGTAGGAGCAAATACCAGAGGTCACACGACACCATGTTGTACGAGCGATTGCCTCAAAAATGATTTTTCCGATGTTGCTAAGGAACACAACGAAAACAAAGGCACAGGGAAAGGCTTCGAGGATCCCGGAACTTGTCGTCCATTTTCTTAGCCGCTCCTTGAATTTGAGCTGGGACGCTTTCGCACGTAAAGCAAATATGATACAACTCTGCGACAGAAAAAATTAGGGCGCACCAAATGCACTCTGAAGAAGGATGACCATCTGTGCACGTTGATGACCAGGAAGGAGAGATATTTAACAAAGATTCATACCGCAATGAAATAGACGTATCCTCCTTTCCACAACAAAAGCAGATGTGGGCGACTTCATTCAAAGAATGGTTTACTGATGAGAGCAGCAAACTAAGAAGCTCTGCCCACATCCATACAGAACCTACCGCAAGAACAAAGGAGCAACATTCAACGCTTCACCTGTCTCTTTCCTATCGATCGATGTAGTCCAGCGTTACTGGCATTATTGAAAAATAAAAGATATCACGTAAAGCTGCCCAGAAAATATTCACGAGGACGTTTCCAGGGTTGCAGGGTTCGGACTGCACCGCGAGGCTGAATCGGCTGGGGCAAGTTTCCCTGTAGCGTCGGAGGCTGACGGACGAGCTGATTGAAGTTTACAAAATCATGAGGGTCATGAATAGGGTGAGGAGTCAAGGTCTTGATCACAGGGTGGGCGAGTCCAAAACTGGAGGGCATATAACTAAGGTGAGAGTGTGGGTGGGGGTTTGGGGGAGGGGGGAAATTTAAAAGCGACCTGAGGGCCATCTTTTCATGCAGAAGGTGGTGCGTGTATGCAATGAACTGCCAGTGGAAGTGGTGGAGGATCGTGAAATTACAACATTTCAAAGGCATCTGGATGCGTGTGTGAATCGGAAGGGTTTAGAGTGATCAGGGCAAAGTGCTCGCAAATGGGGCGAGATGAAATTAGGACATCTTGTCGACATTGTGGAGGTGGACCGAAGGTTGTGGGTCCGTTGTCTATATTTCTACGACGAAAGTGATAACCACTGGAAAAATGGAAACGAGGAGCGGATGCTCTGTGCTCTCCCACATCGATTTGCAACAAAACATTTAACTCTGTTGTTTTCAACTTAAATACAGCGCATCCTTACGCAGCTTCAGCAACACGACCTGAAAACACAGCTGGCTGTCAGCACAAGTGGTAACGGTGGGATTCGAAACCATGCTTCGTAGGAGATTGAAATTTGAAACTACCGCCTTAGACTGCTCGGCCACACTACCGCTGACGGTGGCACTCTAATACGACTCATTCTGACGTTGCTACTGCAACACAGCTCGAGCAAAGGCGCACAGAAAGGCTTCAAGGATCCCTGTCTTGCTCGAGCATTTTCTTAGCTGCTCGGCAATGCCCAGCCACAATATTATTTTCCCACCAGATTCTGATAGCCGCTCGATTCAAGCAAAAATCAATGGAAAGCTGAACGCATGTTGTGAGACTCGGTTAGGCAACAAATGTAATGTGGCTGGGAGAAAGAATATTCGGTCATGTTTGCATAAAGAAAACATGAGCTGCACGACATTGGAATGTGGATTTTCGTTTTGATAAATGATTTCGCCCTTTGCTCGATACAGAACAACTTTCGCGTTTACACGTAGCATGATAAACACCGGACGACCGGGAAAACGCACCAAGCTGAGGAGGCCGTGTACCAGATGACACCGTGTAGCACACTTACAGTTACCACGCCTGTTTGGCGGAAAGAGTGGCTCAAAGATAATCGTCTGTCTGAAAAATTGAGCTAGCAAGAGAATTCGAGAACGACAAATTACATTGCGAGGCTGTTCGAACCTCGGTGCAGGTACGAGTTGCCATCTGCCTTGTCTTTCTCCCTAACCGTAAGTTTTCCTGCGCAGCTTTCTCGTCCTGGACATGAACAAATGTCAGACGGTATCCAGCTGATTTGGAAAAGTGCGTGGGAAACGAGAAAAAGCAACTCACTAAATTTTACGAAATTCCACGGTGCTTATTTAGAGATGCACAAAAGGCAGTTTCTGACCACATTGACAGAACGTAAAAGGCGATCAGAGATGTCAAAGAAGTGCTAACAGCATTGGATTGCTTTTTGTTCAAGAAGTGAAAGGCTCTCGCGTCTGAGTCACTTTCACGTCTCTTGCTGCTGGCTGATTAAGATACAAGTTCTTTCACTTGAGCTGCATGTGGCTCGCTTTCCTATCTGTCCTGGTTAAGATTTCCTTGCTCCTCTGTGACATAAAGAAAAAAGATTGGATACAATGTCAGTTGTTAGCCTGTCTTGTCATTTCCTCAGTTTCAATGCCAACATGGCTTAGACTTGCGAGCACACGTTAATTTAGTGACTGTACGAGAGAGCGCGAGTCAAGAGGTTCATCTCAGTCTGTAAATCCCTTCATTCTGTTGTTGACTGAATGAGCCGCGACTGTGTCCGGTGCGAAGAAATGCAAACATGTTTCTCTATTCCAAAACGTGACTGAGTGCTTCTGGTTTTGATTCACGCACTTTGAGACATGGCAGAGGCGAACGGAACCAAGGCTTTCAGAGACTACTTTGAGATGCATTTGACAGAGAGGAATGCACGGTGCACTGCGACACCGGCAAATCAGGCTTCTCCTTGAATTTGAGCTGGGATGCTTTCGCACGTAAAGCAAATGTGATACAACTCCGCTACAGAAAGAATTAGGGCGCACCAAATGCACTGTTAAGAAGAATGACCATCTGTCCACATTGATGACCAGAAAGGAGAGATATTTAACAAAGATTCATACCGCAATGAAATAGATTTATCCTCCTTTCCACATCAAAAGCAGATGTGGGCGACTTCATTCAAAGAATGGTTTGCTGACGAGGGCAGCAAACTAAGAAGCTCTGCCCACATCCATACAAAAACCGACTGCAAGAACAAAGGAGCAACGTTATTTCTGCCCGGCTTCGAACCGGGGCCTTTTCGCGTGTAAGGCCAATGTGATGACCACTACACTACAGAAACAGCACCGCCAGGGCGCGCTCTCCTCCGATCCTCCAACAGCATCGAAATTCGCAGCCGTTCAACGCTTCATCTGTCTCTTTCCCATCGATCGATGTCGTCCAGCGTTACTGGCATTATTGAAAAATAAAAGGTATCACGTAAAGCTGCCCAGAAAATATTCACGAGGACGTTGCCAGAGTTGCAGGGTTCCGACTGTACCGCGAGGCTGAATCGGCTGGGGCATTTTTCCCTGGAGCGTCGGTAGCTGACGGACGAGCTGTTTGAAGTTTACGATATCATGAGGGACATTCATACGGTGAGCAGTCAAGGTCTTGATTACAGTGTGGGCGAGTCCAAAACTGGAGGGCATATAACTAAGGTGAGAGTGTGGATTGGTGTTGGGAGAGAGGGGAAATTTTACAGCGACCTGAGGGCCATCTGTTCATGCAGAAGGTGGTGCGTGTATGCATTGAACTACCAGAGGAAGTGGTGGAACCTCGTAAAATTGCAACATTTCGAAGGCATCTGGATTTGTGTATGAATTCGAAGGTTTTCGAGGGTTATGGGTCAAATGCTGGCAAATGAAGCTGCATTGATTTCCGATATCTTGTCGACAGTGGCGAGGTGGATCGAAGGTTGTCTGTCCACTCTGTACGTTTCTACGACGTAATTGATAACCACTGGCACAATGGAAACGAGGAGCGGATGCTCTGTGCTCTCCCACATCGGGCATTGCCTTGTAACAAAACGTGGCATTCTGTTGCTTTCTACGTAACCGCAGCTGATCCCTCCTCAGACTCTGCATAACAGATCGCCAACACAACTGGCTGCCAGCCAAAGTCTTTCGACTCGAGCCCATGGCTCCTAGGAGCATAAAAAGCGTTTGCAGTGCCTTAGACCGCTCGGCCACACTACAACAAGCGCTGCATGCTTGCATACGAATCTTTCTGATATTGCTACTGCAAGACATCAAAAGCGCCGGCACAGGGTAATGCTTGGAGGAACCTTCTCGTCGTCCATTTTTTTACCTGTATGTTGAAATGTTTGTGTGTGGCTTGTTGCAGTGTTGCAACGCAAGCTAGAAGAGCAGCACCTCATTTTCCACTTGGGGACCCTATAGCCTGCAATGTTGAATTCAATAATCTCAAGGCCTAAACTCTCCCATGTCCCAGCGTCTACCCGACACACCAGGCCTTGTTACCACATAGTCTGCCATTACACATCCCCTGTTATTAGTCATTAATGGTCCCCATTAAAATGTATTCACCCTCCCACCTGAATCGTTATCAACTCTTTGTCTGTCCAACTGCTCTTGTCTCTCTTTAGTCTCTATCCTATCGTTTACTCCCTCCCACATCACCCCCCACCCACACCTTTTTTTCTGCATGTAAACTGACGTTTTCCCAGCCACCATCAGTTCTGAGGCAGGGTCACCGGGCCCGAAACGTTAACTCTGTTTTATCCTTCACATATGCTGCCAGTTCTGCTGAGCTTTTCCAGCAACTTTGTTTTCGTCCTGATTTACAGAATCCGCAGCTCTTTCGATTTTTATCATTCAGTTCTGGATATGATCAGCAGTAACCTGTCACACAAATCTTACACCATACTGAAAAATACCCAGCAACCATTATTATCTATTCCCTGTTGGTTTCAGAATTCAGTGGGATTTCTTGTCATATCCATCATGAATTTGAAACCAGACTCGTAGAAAGGCAACGAAATGTTTCCAAACATTGCATGTAGATTTTAGCTCAAACCTGTTACGGACCTTCTTTCAGCACATTTGCTGTTTGGATAAGTTTATCATCGTTGCACTTTCTCCGCAGTTTGAACATGTGTTAAAATATGCACCATTCCAAAAGTTAGCAACGTTCACAAGACTGGAGTGAGTGGAAGGGGATAAGAGGCATTGGGGATATTTGTGCAACTAATATATTGGGGAGACAGGAAGATCAGCACCATTTATACTGCCATCTGCAAGTTTATCACTTTGTGTCTTACATTCGCACTCGTTGCTTTCCAGGCAAAGACTGGACTTACTATCAGTCTGTATTTACACCAAGCAGGTACTTTATCTGGTAACTGGACAGGCAGAGGAAACTTGATTTCAACTCGGGGCAGAAGCAGTCAGCGAATCAGAGATTGGATAGAATGTCATCAAGTGTGTCAAGGAGAAAAACAAGTAATTAGTACCGATAAGCTTGACGCACTGAATAAGACCACATGGTACAGGACCCAAAATAAATCATACAACCCATCATATTCAAGCCCCCATTCCACGCGATCGTAGATAATCTGATATTCCTCAGACTCCACTTCCATGCCTTATCCACTTAATCCTTGATTGCGTTAACAATTAAAAATGTCTGTTTGAGCCCTGATTTTACTTATCGACTCAGCCGGACAGCCCTCTGTAGTAAAGTATTCCACAGACTCATTACTTCTGAGAGAAGAATTCTCCTCATATCTGTCCGAAGTCGGTGACTCCTTGAGATCATGCCCTCTGGTCCTAAACTGTTCCACAAAGAGGAAATATCCTCTCCACATTTACCCTATCAAGCCCCCTAAGAATATTAGCAGTTTCAGTGTGGCCTTCTCTCATTCTTTTGATGTCAAATGAGTACAGGCCCAACATATTCAATCATTCCTCACTCGAAAATCCCTCTTTGCACCAGACAACACGGTGAACCTTCCATGCACTGACTCAATGCCAACATATCTTTCCTAAGATGTAAGTTCCAATACTGCTCACTGAATTGCAGCTGTGCCTTATATAACTATAACAAACCCTTTCTATATTTATTGTCTATTCTCTTTGGGAAAAAGGCTATATTGAATTTGAATTCTGCCACCTGATAAAGGAGCAGCTCTTAGAAAGCTTGTGATTTCAAATAAACCTGTTGGACTACTGATTTCTGACTCATTATTTAGCTACCCACTTATTTTCGCGTCATTCACACAGTTGACATTCACTTCTAGGTCATTGGTTGCGTCTAGAAGGGCAAGTGACTGAAGTGAAATGATGTTGAAACTCTTGTTATGCGGCCAACTTGCAAGAATTTAGAACTATGCTCTTGATGCTCTCGTGTCTTCACTTCTACTGGAGTATGGTCTATGGTCAGGGAAGAATGACTTATTTGCGTTGTGCATACATTCTTAAAGAATGTGACTTACAAAGTGTCTGAAAACTAAAGGGTCACAGTCGTTCTGGCAGAATCAGTGGAGTGAGAGTTCAACTTTCACATCAAAGCTAGAGATCCCGGTCAGACAATAGATCAAGGAATAACACGGAAGAGAGGCTTTGGAGTGAAAGAGGATGAAAAGCGAGGGACGTGAAATGTTGGAAAACAGCACATGGGAACTGTATAAAGAGCTGGAGCTCGAAAGTTCATTGTGGGTGCTCATTGGTCAGATTCTTCTGCCTGCCGTTTCAATGGACCAACACAGCAGTCCTGTTTTAACAATTCGCTTCAATTCGAACGTTCATGAATGTTGCTGTCCCAAAATGATTCAATCATTCGCTAAATGAGAGACACCTTTGGTTTCTGGGTTATCGTCACTCATCAGACCTTTGTCGCTCTCAGTGGATACATCTGAGTGCCTCTCCGTCGGTATCAAGTGGAGGGTGATTGAAATGTTGACTGAACAGCTCCTTCAGTGAGCCTCGGGCCAGTTGGCCAGATTGATCCAATTGCAACCAACCACTCCCCACCATCTTCTCAGGGGCGACTGGGATGTTGTAATAAATGCTGAAGTACTCACATCCAAGGGAAGAATTTAAAAAAAAGGCTCGAAGTTTCTTCAGATTGATTAATATTCTAATTCACTGAGGTTTTGGAGAAGATCTGTAGCTCAGGTTGTGGGTGTTTAGTTTGGTTGGCTCGCCGAGCTGGTTTGTTGTTCCGCAGACGTTTCGTTA